GGTTGTAGTGAGCTGGGATCATGCCACTGCACTCCAGCCTGGGTGACAGAGTGACAGAGTGAGACTCCATCTCAAATAAAATAAAATAATGCTTATTTTCTTACTAGTAAAGCTGGGCATCTTGTCACATATTGATTTGCAGTTTGCCATCCATTGTGTTTCTTGTTCATGACCTTTATCAGTTTTTCTCTTAGGCTTTGTGCTCCTCTTTTTGTTGGCTCTTCATGTTGCCCATGTTAATTCCTTGTCTGTTAAATGTTATGAAAACACTCCCCTGGTCTATCACTGCCTTTAACTCTGCCTGTAGTGTGTTTTACTCTGTCTGAGTGCTTTCTTTTTTCATGTAGGGATAGAGTCAATTTTTATTATTGCCTTTGGGTTTCATTTATTTAAAAAATGTTAGCAAGACATTTGTACTAGATTAATGTAGCTTTGGGCACCAGCAGCATTTTAGGGCTGAACTTCTATGCAGTCTCAATATGAATTTTAGAGAAACCTAGGATTTTTATATGTACAAAAATAGATACAGAGATCTTTTCTCTCTTTCCTGATACGTGGGAGTTCAAGATTGACTTTTTCCAACTCACTGAAAAAGAGATGGACCTTATCATATTAACTTGGTATAAGTGTTTCTTTTGGAGACCCAGTTTCTTGTCCTGGAATTCAGTGAAATGTTTCCCATGCACCTACTGTGTGTAAGGCACTGACCATATACCATAGGCATCAAGATGAGTAAGACATGGTCCTGACACTCATGAAGTTTACAGTTAGCAGTCCTAAAAGTATGTAGATGGTACTTGAAATAATCTTGAAGTAAATTTAAACTTAGACAATTTTACTTAGAAATAATGTAAAAAGGGTAAGAATATTTATGCATTCAGTAGTATACTGTGTGATGGTATTTACTGTATACACATGAAAGTGTTCGTAGCTTCTATTCTTCTTAATCTTGGATCCTTTTTAAAGTTCCCCATTATATTCATAAATCATGTCTATCATGTGAAGATTTAGGAATTCCTGACTGTAATGTTCTATTTAAATGTTAATTTATATGGATTAATGTAAGCAAAATTCTCAGGAAGTTGAGGACATTAAATCTTTAATTGAAATGTAAGAGATATTTGTAAGATTGTTTGGCCACTAATGTATGCCTTGTGTTCTAAATTTCACTTTAGGAAATCACTCACTCTAGTAATTTGGTGGCTTTGTCACAGAGATCGGGTTTATACTTAAAACCAAAATATGATTAAGCAGTGGACAGTGGAAGATTTGCGCTGTGAACTACTTTGGTTAAGCAGTGGACAGTGGAAGATTTGCACTGTGAACTACTATGCATTCTTGAGCAGAAGTGGAGTACATTATTTTTGATTGCTTAAGGTACTTCACTGATAATTTGGGTAGAGAAGAAATTAATTAGGGAAAGTATAGAGTCAGTGTGATTTAATATTTACAGCAGCTAGAGGTTTGTGCTCTTCACCAGCCCAAATTAAGGAGAGTAGTGGAAGGGTTCTAGGAGGGAAGGTGAAGAGTTGAAGTAGTGGAGATGTGGCAAGGCTGCTTTTGTGGGAAACCTCCAGCCTGAAATTCTGGGCCTTAAATTATTTAAGGTGGGGAAGAATAAGGAGAATGAGAGTGATTTAAAATTTGGTGAGTTTTACTTGGAATGTAAGCATATTTTGCATTATTTCCATTTGAATGCAAATACAGCAACAAAGAATTTCCTTCATTCTATGATGTCAGCAATAGTAAGACTTATCATTGATTTGATAACTGTATTGCCTCAAATAGATCCACCAGTTGTTAGGTGTGTCATGGTAGCATGGAGTGGCAGGTGACTGACAGTTGGTTCTTTATGGAGTGTGTTACCTCAAGCTGTTGAGGAGGCAGAAATTAAGGTGAGGAGTATTGTAACACAAGTCACCTTTAGGTCCTCCTTACAGCCATGAGAGGTTGGGGAGCATGCTTGGTATAAAGAGCCTGGGGTAGCATGGGTTCATCTTCTAGCATAGGTTAGTTTCTGGGATTCAAAAGGCATTTGTGGTGATTATGCTATACCATCATGGCTTGCTGGGCTCTTTATGGTTTTCCCCTGGGTTTTAGAGTCTTCTCTGATTGCCAACATTCCTCCTTTGGCTAGCCTAAAATATCTTAGAGCAGTATGCTAGAAAAGGAAGCATATCATGATGCATAATTCCTTGCCTGGATCTCCTGTGACAAGTTAATTCCTACTGTGCAGGAGCAGCTATCAGTTTAGGTGATAACGCGCTCAAGTTAGGTAGCATGGGCCAGGGCTGGGGCAGAAGTGAAGAGAGTTTTTAGTTGGGGAGAGGTCGTAACAGTGGCCCAGAAGCTGAATGAATCTCTTTCGTTTCTTTAGGAGCTTGGAGGTGAACTTATTTGGGGTTTTGGGAGTGAACTACTGATAGCCTAGATTTCAATTTGGAGGTAATCTCAATGAGGGATTCATTCCGTAACTCCATCCTCCCACCTCTCACACATACATTGACTTTTCTACCTTGAATAGGGATCCCAAATGCCCAAGGCTTTTTCTCGTTTTGGTACTTTACACACCACGCAGTTGTGGCTCACTTTTATGTCAGTTCAGATAGATTGTGAGTTCTTTGAGGACTGAGATACTGTCATTCATCACTTATCCTTAACACCTGGCATTATGTGGCATTATGGTGGTATAGGTGCTTCCTAAATGTTGACTGAATAAATGAATGAACTCACATTTCAATACCAGGTGATAACCTTGTCTGGCATCCTACAGGTTTCTTGTCAGGATGGAATGTGATCAAGAATTTCACTTCCTTGCCTTTGAATATGTATTTTGGATTTGCCTCTAAGATGATAATAGTCTATTAGTTCCAGCTCATCTGGAAGTGGGTCTGTATGAGCTTAAGCCTGGTGCATGGATGGGGAGATCACACATGCATGAGCCTTTAACATGATAATAGTCTATTAGTTCCAGGTTATCTAGAAGTGGATCGGTATGAGCTTAGGCCCGGTATGCAGATGGGTAGATCACACACATCTACATCTATGCATTAGAAGTTTTCCAAGATTTACTTAATTAGATGCTGTAGGCTCTCAGGGGAATTGCACTGGCTGAGTAATACTAAAAGGCCAGGGGATTGGGAGGTGAGCTGCTGTTTGTCACACTTCTGATACACTTTTTGTGAGCACCAAAGATCTGATGTTGTAACGTCTTGAGTGCCATAGAATTTATCCAGGGGTTCTGGAGTTACTATGACAAAGTAGAGATCTTCATTGGTCTGTTATTGTAGCTGTGCTTTAGGGACACAGACAGACCTGTCTTTTCTCAGGGTGATGTCTCCTGTGGAAGAAGAGAATTGTCTGGTCTTTGTTAAGTTAGTGAATATAAGAGTACTTGTGGAGAACCAAACTTTACCTACAAAAAGTATTTTGTTTTAACAAATAGGGACTCCAGATATCCTGATTATAACATCTGATCTTATAATCAAATCTTCTACCTTTTTGTCTGAAAACTATGGTATGATATGATCATTCGTTGAAGATTCCAGGAATGGGAGGGACTGGTAAAGCCGATTCTGCCACTAGTCAGGAATTGTAGCAGGGCAGAAAAGGGTGTAGCTTCTACACAAATATGGTTGTAGGTGTTCATCTGGGAGAAGTAGGAACCAAGGGTAAGAATGGGTCTCACGTGACAGCACTGGTGAGGGTGGGCTGTGCTGCATAGCTCAGTAGGGTCAGGGTCTCAGGCCACAAATCCCTGCTGTGTCCACTAGCCTAGAGTCAAATGCTTAGCTGTGACTGCTATGCCAGACCTTGACCTGCAAAGCTCTCTAATGGCCCCTTGTTGAGCACAGTCCAGTCTGAGAAAGCTGTCTGTTACCTAGCAGTTCTTTGTGTGCATGATATGCTACCTAGGTGGTTAGGGCTAAATCTGAACCTGTGTCCTTCCTGGAGGTATGAGGGGTTCCAAATACTTCTCCCAAAAGCAGATTTTGTTGCTCTTTTAGTTATGGAATGTGAGGTCAGGACCTAGGTGGACATGAGGCAGTGATTTAAGGCAGAAAGCCTGGAGTGGACTCTGGGCAAATACATGACAACATGTTCTTTTTTTTTGTTCAATAGAGATTACTGCTTATGTTCTTTTCTTAGATTTGCTTCATGGGCGACCGCAATGATAGGTAGAAGACCTGGCTACTTTGAAGGGGCCAGGGATGGGTCACAGAAAAGGCACGTTGATAGTACTAATGGAGGTTCAGAAAGTAGCCCACAGTTTTGTCATCTATGTTCTTCCTACTGCTTTTTGAAATGTGGGAAGCTGGTTGTAGTAACTACTTAGATTTCTCAATCTAGGTCATCTTTTTTTTTTTTTCCACAAGCTGCTGCGTCTCTTGTCTACTTTCCTATTTATTTTATCCCTGTTTCTTTTATATATGAGTTCATATCAGAAGAGATTAAGTGATTTTGGATTGTATTTCAGATGTTTTGTTCTATGACTTAATATGTTGTTTGTACTACAGAATGAGTTGCTGAGCGATTTTTACTTGTATTCCTGACAAAGTTTACCTAGTTAAAGGTATTAGGCTTTAAAAATTTGGGCCAAATGGGAAACCAGGTGGCTGTTTAGTAAACATTATTAATGGGGGTGACAGTTTTCAGTCCCTGGATTTAATTTGAACCATTTATCTTTGAGCCCCAGTTTTTTTTTTAATCTAGGAAATAAAAATGATAAACTTTAGCTTTTTATTTCTCAGTTCAGAAAAAACAACAAGATCATGGTTCTTGCTAAGGAGGGGATCCTGGAGAATGGAACAATGTCTTTTTTTGTTTGTTTTTCTAACTTATTTCTGTGGTCTCTGTGTCTTATTTAAAAGGTGACATTTAGGTTTGCTGTGATCACAAGATAGCTCGTGTGTTACAGGATGTTTTCTTGTGATCAAGTCGAATTATGGTTCAAAGTTTAGAAAAATTATAATGTCTTTTTTTTTTTTTTAACCTCTTAGTGCCACAGAATGGAATTCGGCATTGTTCCTATACAGCTTCTCGGAAACATCTCTACGTTGATAAAAATACCAAGATTATTTGCCAGGGTTTCACTGGCAAACAGGTATGTGTATCTAGATTTTTATTTTCAAATGTAGACTAGAGATACGACAAATTAACTATTTTTTAATTTTTAATATCACAAAAGTAATAGATTGTTGCAGAAAAATATACTGTTTTTTAAATATATGCTATTGTCAGCCTATAACATAAAAATTGTATTTAAACTTACTTTGTGAAGGAGTATATTGCATGCTTACTAGGACTATATTGTACTGGAGGCCCACATACTTTCAGCAAATAACAACACTTGGTTTTCCTATAACGTTGAAACAGACTACTGTTTCTTTGACTGAGCACCAGATAAACTAGATTCTTGTGTTTAGGTTTCGTACAGACAAACAAACAAAAAACATACTGTTAAATACAGAATCCATATTCAGTGTGGAGAAATACTCAAACCCACAGACAGAGTCTCTTGGATAGTGAGACAAGCAGAAGAACCAGACCACTGACTTTTCCCAACTTATACTGTCTCTGGCAGGATTGGTACTACCAGGCAAAATTCCCTGAAGTGTTTTAATTTATTCCCATTTATTTATATTCATTGTCTCATCCTCTTTCCTGTTCACAGCATAGATTTTGTATAAGTGAAAATATATCTGTGATGTGATTCTGTAATAAAATGCCACCTAGGAATCTCCTTTCCATTTTCCTACCTTTCTACTCCCCAGGAATTCCTTCTGTTAATAAATTGGCATATATTCTTTCAGATATTTTTCTTGTGCATACAAACGTATTTATATAATACGTGTTTTGTAGTGTTTGTTATACAGAACTGTACTTACGTAATGTTATCTAGCATATAATATATATGGTGTATATATCTATAAAATAGAGATCTAAAGGTAAAATTGGATGTCATGTGGTCTGTGTATTTAAAATTTTCATAGCTAAATTGACCTTTAAAACATTGGAGGAGATTTATACTTCCACTATAGTAGATGTGCAGAATTTTTTAAAATGAAGAAGTACTACCAAATCAATTAGAGTATAATCACTGTACTCTAAGTGTCTTAACCCAAAGTATCCCTTTCTTTATTATTAAAGGAGATATGGCAAGATAAAAGCAGTCAGTAATTTTTTTGTAATTTAAGGTTAATGATTTTTCTGTACTTAAAAGAATTATCAAGTCAATTCTTCAGTGTTTGGTAATCTACAGCAGAGGTGACTAAACTTATTCTTCAAAAGGCCAGTTTGTAAACATTTTAGGTTTAGTGGGTTATAAAGTCTCTGTTACAGCTACTCAAAAGCATTAAAACAGCAAAAGCAGCCATAGAAAATAATGTCAATGAATGGGTCTGGGTGTGTTCCAATAAAACTTAATTTACAAAACCAGGTAGTGGACCAACTCCTGTAGACTGCAGTTAGCAGGTTGTTTCATATAAAATGGTTCTTTTGCTTTTTACTTTTTTTTTTGAAATAATTGAGCACACAAATGTGTTGCAGTGGACTTTCTTCTTTTTATTCTTCCATTCCTCTATAAACTTAAAAAAAAAATCTACCAATAACAAAAATGAAGCACCCACTAAACCCTGAAATTTTGTTCCTGGTAAAAATGGCTGGGTGGGGTGGCCCACACCTGTAATCCTAGCACTTTGTGGGGCCAGAGCAGCAGGACTGCTTGAACCCAGGAGTTTGAGACCAGCCTGGGCAATATGGTGAGAACGCATCTGTAAAAAAAAAAAAAAAAAAGTAGAAAAATTAGCTGGGTATGGTGGTGCATGCCTGTGGTTCCAGATATTCTGGAGGCTGAGGTGGAACGATCACTTGAGTCAAGAAGGTTGAGGATGCAGTGAATCATGATTGAACCACTTAACGCCAGCTGGGATGACAGAGTGAGACTCTACCTAAAGAAAAAAAGGTTTATTCTGATAGCCAAATGTCTTATGTGTGTGTCACTTCCGTTATATACATTCTAAGGCAAGAAAATCTTCATCCAAGATTTGTAATGTGATCTATCATCCCCTTCCCAATTGATGTTATATTCAGCCTGTTTTTTGTTATATATTAATATTATTAGCATATAATCAGAAGATGTTTGATTAACCCAAATTTCCCACATAAATTTATTATATATAATTTTGTTTTTCTGTTTGCAAAATATTATATGATCCTGTGACATTTTAAGCAGTGGGCTTTTTTTATAAGAACTATTGCCTATGGTGTAAGCACTATTGAGAACTGTCTCCATATTCTAAATTAGGTGATGGTTTACCTAAATATTTAAATCCAAGGGTAGTTTTAGTGTTTTTCAGTTAATTGCATTTACGTTGTTTCTCATTCACTCTCCTTGTTTCTGTTTTTAAAGTGAGTGTTAATTCCCTCAGTTAGGTTTGTTGATTCAGATTCATTATAGACTTAAATGATGAGGTCTGAAATTTATAGCTTACTTCCACAGTAAATCTGCATATTGTCTTATTAGTTTGTTTTCTCTGTACACACGTTGTTCCACATAACGAATGAAAAATCCTTGTATTTTAGGGTAGGTTTCAGCAATGCAGATTTCCATTGGGTGCCATCTTGTTTCTTACACTGGCTTTATAAGCTGCTAAAATTATTCCTATTCCTAATTGTATACTGGCTGGTGATAATGGTAAAACTAAGGAAAATAAGCTTGTTTTGAATAGATGTGTTATTCCTGTTTAGCACTACTTTATGAATAAAATTTGGTGCTTTTGAATTTACCTGGCAGTGTAGTCGAGGGCAGTGCTTCTCAGTGTCTATAGCAAAAAACCTGTGTGGGTGTTTGTTTTGAATTTTCAGTCTAATATAGATCAGTATTTTTATAAAGTACAATAAAAGCTGTAGCAATGTCATACTGCTATATTTGCAAACATTTTTACTTTTTTTAAAATTAGATTTTTCCCCTCCCTCTCTCCCTTCCTTCCTTCCTTTTTTTTTTTCTTTTTCCTCTTACCTCATTGCAGAGCAGCAAGAGTCTGCATACTGTACTTTGAATAGCACTGTTTTAAGAGAAAGAACACTGGCCTGTGGTTCTTTCAAAACTCTGCCCCTAACTTTAGACAAATTAATTAACATGCTTGGGGCCAAGTTTCCTATTTTGAAATAGAATGTCAATCAGAAAATTTCTGAAGTCCTTCTTAAGGCCCTAATTTTTATTCCTTTAATAGAACATCAGTAGTTGGGACTACATTTTGAATGACCACACAGATTCATTCATTTTTCAACAACTATTTATTGAGTGCCTACTGTATGTTGATTTAGGTGTCATATTGCAATGAACAAAGTAGACATAAATTACTGTGTTTATGGAATTTACATTTTAGTGGTTGAGGGGAAATGATGTATCAACAAAATCAATGAGTAGATTATGTGGTATGTTAGAGAGTACAATTGCTCTGGAAGAAATAAGTCAGGGAGATAGTTGGGCGGTTCTTGCCGGAAGTGGAGAGTGGCTGATCAAAGTCCGGAGATGGTACATTATGGCTGACATGCAAAATCTGGTAGAAAGATTGGAGAGGGCAGTGGGCCACCTGGAGGCAGTATCCCATACCTCTGACATGCACTGTGGGTATGGAGACAGTCCTTCAAAAGCAGGAGCAGCTCCGTGCATGCAGGCATTTGACTTGCTGCTTGCCGGTCCTGTGACAGAATACTTGAAGATCAGTAAAGAGGTTGGGGGAGATGTGCAGAAACATGCGGAGAAGGTCCATACAGGTTTGAAGTTGGAGCGAGCTCTCTTGGTTACAGTTTCTCAGTGTCAACAGCCAGCAGATAACAAGCTTTCCGATTTGTTGGCATCCATCTCAGAGCAGATCAAAGAAGTGATAACCTTTCAGGAGAAGAACTGAGGCAGCAACTTGCTTAATCACCTGTCACCTGTCAGTGAAAGCATCCAGGCCCGGGGCTGGGTGGCTATGGCTCCCAAGGCTGGCCTTTATGTGAAAAAAATAAATGATGCTGTCATGTTTTATACAAACTGAGTCCTCAAAGAGTACAAAGATGTGGACAAGAAGCATGTAATAATAATAAGCATGTAATAATAATAAGCAGCATGTAATAATAAGCATGGGTCAAAGCTTATTGAAGTATATGGACAGAGCTGTAGGCTCACATTAAGGAGTTCCATACCACTGGGCTGGCATAGAACAAAACGAGGCCTGTGGCAAAAGAACTGAGTGGACTGCCTTTTGGACCCTCTGCTGGACCAGATCCTCCTTCCCCTCCACCAGGCTCCCCTCCTCCACCAGTCTCTCCCAGTTCAGGCTCAGATGAGTCTGCTTCCTGCTCAGCACTGTTTGCACAGATTAATCAGGGGGAAAGCATCACACATGCCCTAAAACACGTGTCTGATGACATGAAGACTCTCAAGAACCCTGCCTTGAAGGCTCAGAGTGGTCCAGTACACAGTGGCCCCAAGCCATTCTCTGCACCTAAACCCCAAACCAGCCCGTCCCCCAAACCAGCCACAAAGAAGGAGCCAGGTGTACTTGAACTGGAGGGCAAGAAGTGGAGAGTGGAAAATCAGGAAAATGTTTCCAACCTGGTGATTGATGACACAGAGCTGAAACAGGTGGCTTACATTTACAAGTGTGTCAACACGACATTGCAAATCAAGGGCAAAATTAACTCCACTGCAGTAGATAACTCTAAGAAACTTGGCCTGGTATTTGATGATGTAGTGGGCATTGTGGAGATAATTAACAGTAGGGATGTCAAAGTTCAGGTAATGGGTAAAGTGCCAACCATTTCCATCAACAAAACAGATGGCTGCCGTGCTTACCTGAGCAAAAATTCCCTGGATTGTGAAACAGTCACTGCCAAATCTTCTGAGAAGAACGTCCTCATTCCTACAGAAGGCAGTGGTTTTAATGAATTCCCAGTTCCTAAACAGTTCAAGACCCTATGGAATGGGCAGATGTTGGTCACCACAGTGACAGAAATTGCTGGATAAGTGAAGCACCACTGGGTTCTTTGCCCTCCCTTCACACCATGGGATAAATCTGTATCAAGATGGTTCTTTTCTAGATTTTCTCTACCTTTCTGCTCTTAAAACTGCTTCTCTGCTCTGAGAAGCACAGCTACCTGCCTTCACTGAAATATACCTCAGGCTGAGATTTGGGGTGGGATAGCAGGTCAGTTGATCTTCCGCAGGAAGGTGCAGCTTTTCCGTATCAGCTCAACCATGCCGCCAGTCCATTCTTAAGGAACTGCCAACCAGGACTGATGATGCATTTTAGCTTTGAGCTTTTGGGCATTATTCTACCAACAAATAGTCCATTGAGAAGAAAACAGTCCCAGGAATTAACAGATCAGAATGTTCACACTGATTAATCTTTTTCTAACAATGAGCATGAAGATAGCAGAAGCTGGTGTGTTTCCAGATGGTTCTTCTAACCAAACTAATTTTTTACTGTTGACAAGTGAGGCAAGGGTTGCACTGGACCAAAGACTGAGGCTTGGCCATCTGGCATTCCACACAAAGTTGTTCCCTATAAGCATTCCTTTTATTCTCTATTCCATCCTGGGTCTGCCTCATGCTGTGGCAGTGCCCTTCATCCAGAGCAGTTAAAGGAGTCTTGGACCCTTTCTCTAGGATTCCTGCCCAGCACCTTCTACAGAGATGACTTAAAAGGAAAAAAAAAAAAAAAGGAAAAACACCATTCCGAGGAGTCTGGCATTCCTGAATCCTCCTTCCTTGCTAGGTGCCTGTCACCTGTCTTCACTCTCTCCTTTTCCCTGTCATGCTCATCAGCCATGGCTTCTGTCCAAGCACCTGAACAGAGGACTAAAACCTCCATTGCAGGCTGGTTTTAGGTCTTGATTTATGTAAAAATTTTGCACAGCATTGCTAATGTAAAGTTCAGTTTTTTCCCTCTAGGACAAACACTTAACAAAATGTGCAACTTTTTTTGATGGGAAGAGAGATTGTCCTGTGATTTCTACCCATTTCCTGAGGCCTGTGGAAATAAACCTTTATGTACCTAAAGTTAAAAAAAAAAAAAAAAAAAGAAAGAAGCCAGGGAAAGGAGGAGTGTGTGTAGTCCTGGTGGTTAGGATGGAGGAGAAGGAGATTTTATATCAGGTGGTCAGAGAAGGCCTGATCTCTGAGTAAAGATGTAAAGGAGACATGGGAGTGAACCAAGAGGATATTTTAGGGAAGGATATTCCATGCAGAGGGCACAATGAGGACATGAGGCAGGCATATGCCTGCAGTGTGGAAGCCGCAAGGCCAGCATGGCTGGAGTGTAATGAGCAGGCAGGTATATGACTCTGATGTGGGGAGACAGCTTGTAGATTAACTTGTAGACCAGGGTATGGGGTTTGGCTTTTACTTGACTGAAATCTAAAATAATCAGAGTATTTGATTAGAGTAGTGCTGTGATCTTATGTTTTGACCAGATCACTCAGGCTGCTGTGGAGATTAGATTGAAGGGGAGCAAGACCAATAACCCATCAAGATTGAAGTGACTTAGATCAATGTGATAGCAGTAGGAGGGGAAGGAGTTGTCGATTATACTTTGAAGATAGAGCAATAAGATCCACTAATGGATCTAATATGAGATATATGAGAAAGAGAAGAATTAAGGATGACTTCAGTATTTTTGATGTGATGATCTGTAAGGAGTGAAGTTGCCTTTAAATGAGATGGGGTAGATGGAAATGATTGGGAACTCAGTTTTGGACATGTTGAGTTTGAGATGCTTGCTAGTTCTCAAAGTGGAGGTGTCAGGTAGGCAGTTGACAATGCGAGTATGGAGTTCAAGGCTTAGATAAGTGGGGTGTTTGTGTCTTTGTGTATGTGGAAGGGGTCACCATATGGATGAGATGTATTGCCATGGTAAGGGATGACATCACCAAGGGCATGAATTTAGACAAAAAAGAGAAGTTGAAGAGGAAAACCAGGGGAAGTAGAGCCCCAGAAGCCTAGTGAAAAAGAATCTTTCAACCCTTGGAGCTGTTTTTGGTTGTCATAACTGGAAGGGGTGGTTAGGAGGGGGACAGTTAGGAGGGTGTGGTACTGGCATCTAATGGGTGTAGCCCAGGGATGCTGCTAAATGTCCTACCAGGCACTGGATGACGTCTTACAAGAAAGAATCATCCTTCCAAAATGTCAGTAATGCTGAGGTTGAAGAGTCAAAGTGAATGGATAGAGAAATACAGTATTAAAGGCTTACTTAAGGTGAGTGATCGTTAATTTAAAATGAGACCAGTTGACATGTTTTTTTTTCTTTTCTTTTTTTTCCTCTAGCCACTTTTTGGCTGCACATGTCTAGGCTTAGAGTAGGGGGAAAATTGGATTTAACCCAGGTTGTGGTTTTGCCAGATGTTTAAGTTGAAGTGAGAGAAAGCCAAGGTGGTTGTGGGAGGGTAATGATCTACCATGAATTTTAAACTGAGGAGTGTGAGCACATGAGTTGAGAAACAGGGAGTTTTTGATCAGTAGCCAAGTTTGAAAACAGGGAATCAAAGAGGCCCCTGTTTATAGTTATTTTGGCTTTTCAGAGGCTTGTTTTGCTTCAAGCCTCAAAGCTATGTTTAGTAAATAGATGGGCATGCTTCCTATAGTTACTGTCTGGGAATAGTTAACCTATTTGTTTTACTTTTCCTAAGTTGCTAAGATTGCTTTTGCTTCTCTTGGGCTTTCCAGTCTGCTGTTTCTCATGGATCTTGTGCTTTTTCCCCTCAGGGCACCTTTCACAGCCAGCAGGCATTGGACTATGGCACCAAACTTGTTGGAGGAACCACTCCAGGGAAAGGAGGCCAGACGCATCTGGGCCTACCAGTCTTTAACACCGTGAAGGAGGTAATTAATGCTACCTGAGTTTGGCAAGACGAGAAAAGCAAGGGAAGAGTGAGCATTCTTTGAGTAGAGATCTTAATTGTGTTTCTTTTGGGAGAGTCTCTTGCTGTTTGAAAATTCAGTAACCTAGAGAAATTTGAATTGCCTTCAAAACCAGTGTCATTTGTGTTTCTAGGTATGCATCTGCTCTTAAGGGAAGAAGTGCTATGGCCAGGCTTCTGTTTGTCTTTTTATCATTGCCTTGCTTTACTTTTCTTCTTCCAGTATGTTAGTACGAATGTCAGCAACCACCCCCTAATTCTTCCTTAGTGGGGACTATGCAGCAGGCACTGTGCTAGGTGTTTCATTCAAATTGCCCTGTTCAGGCCTCACTACACCCCTTGGAGGTAGGTGCTGTTATCCTCCTCATTTTAAAGGTAAGGATGTTACTAGTGCAAAGAGGTTGAAGATCTTGCCCATGGTCTGACAGCTGGTAAGTGGCAGGCTTAGGATGGCTCAGTAAAGAGTGGTCCCATGTGAAGAAACTAAATTGTAGAGTTAAATTTACAAATCACAGTGTCCTAAATTCTCAAATTACGGATTTCTTAATAATACCTTTAAACATTATTTTTGAATTAAACTTTAATTCTTTGTTACAAAACTGATATGTGCTTTTTGTAAAAATTCAGATGCTATAAAAGGTAAGTAAAGTTAAATTTTACAGTGTCTTCAACATCTCAGATTTTGCCTCTGTAGGGAGCTAACTTAAGCTTAGTCTGTAGTCTTTCACTCTCTTTTTACTCTTATATGAATATTTATGAAACTAATAGTATTTAAAAGAAACTGTAGTGTAAATTATTGAGTATTTAATTTTAAAAATCTAAGAAATAAACTTAGTTTTTCGGGATGATGTGTTGGTCAGCCTTAAATGTATTCTTCCCCTCTTCTTATGCATATTTTTAAGGTGTATTTTAAAGCATTACATTTTTTAAGGCACAGATTTAAAGTCCTTCCTGCCTTAAATTCTATTATGGCTGATTTTATAACTTCAAAATATAGAGAGGAGATGTTTTTTCACAATTCCTCTAGGTTGGCTTTTCTTTTGTCATGAGCCTTTTTTTGCTTTTTTTTTTTTTTAAGGAAGTCTTGTTGCTAAGCAATCCATTTGTTATAGTGACAAAAATAGTTTTGGTGTTTGGAATATTGTGTAAGTTTTTTTGACAGGTATTGTTTATTTTTCACCCATTCTGCTCTTACAAAGAGATTTTTGAATGAGTAGGGTTGGTACCTTTAATCCATATGATTTCCTAGCACAATATTTGCTGTTGTCACAGTCTAGCTTCTGGCAGTGTTTGTAGCCTTTAGAGGTAGAGAACAATGTACTGTAGTTACTTTTCAGTAAAGTACCTACGTGCCCATGATTTGCCTTCTTTTGGTTCCATACTAGTTTTAATATTTTTTTGTCTCCCCCTCTATTATCATCTTGAACAGAGCTTTAAAAAATTATTTTTAACCTCTGACATCATTTGTGGATGATATGTTGGCGTCCTTCGACTGTTCACTGTCAGGATGCTTTTAGGTTTGCTGACATGCCATAGTCTAAGAGAGTGAGATGTCACAGAAGCTTTCAATTCACAGTGGCATTCAAAGGGGGCTGAGAAAGGGCTATGCTTAATTCTACTCTACTTCTGACAGTGTAGTGAATTTGAGAATGGGAAGAATGCTATGTCTTTGGGTAGTGTCCTTTTCTTTACCCTAAGACATTATTAAAATGATAGTATCGAATTTATTTTACAATGTTTATGATTTAACCAATAATAAAGTGCTTCATCGTTAATGTTTCAGGCCAAAGAACAGACAGGAGCAACAGCTTCTGTCATTTACGTTCCTCCACCTTTTGCTGCGGCTGCTATTAATGAAGCTATTGAGGCGGAAATTCCCTTGGTTGTATGTATCACTGAAGGTATCCCGCAGCAGGACATGGTACGAGTTAAGCACAGATTGCTGCACCAGGGAAAGACAAGGCTAATTGGGCCCAACTGCCCTGGAGTCATCAATGTGAGTGCAAAACGTAAAAAGAAACCCAGAGTAAGCCTCTCACAAGGCTAAACAGCTTTGAGTGAATGCAAGTGTATTTGTGTGTATGACCTGTGAGTGACTGTTTTTTTTTTTTCAACTTTTCTGAAACTATGATTTACTTTCAGCCTGGAGAATGTAAAATTGGCATCATGCCTGGTCATATTCACAAAAAAGGAAGGATTGGTGAGTTTGTTTGCTACTTTCTTACAGATTAAAACAAAAAATTATTTGCCTTAAACCCTCAAAACTCACAAAGAATTTGTGACTTTGCAAATCAAGTTTATTTTAATTAAATTGACTTGAGTGGGATTTACTAGGGAAGTTTTGTAGTCTATTAATTCTGTATCCTGAGTATAATAAATTTATTTGAGAAGTTCTACAGAATAAGTGAAGACTTTGGTGGTGGGAGTTTAAATATTTTTTTCCTGCTCAGCATTCTGTGTATTCTTCCATGTGTTTGCATGTATCAGTAGTTAATTTCATTAACTATTATAACTTAGTTATTGCTAAGTAGTATTCTATTGTATAATTATACCACAATTTGTTTATTGCTAAGTAGTATTCTATTGTATAATTATACCACGATTTGTTTATTCATTTTCCCATTAATGAACATTTGGGTTGTTTTCATGTTTGAGCCTTATGAACAAGGCTTAGGTCAACATTTGTGTATAAGTCGTTGTGTGGACAGATTTTTGTTTCTCTTGGGGAAAATGCAGAGGAATGGACTTGCTAAGTCATGTTCATATGGACATAAGTTGAGTATGCTCAACTTTTTAACAAACTGCCAAATAATTCTGCAAAGTGGCTATATCATTTTATATTTTCACTATTAATGTAGGAGAGTTTCAATTGCTCCATGTCTTCACAAACATTTAGTATTGTTAGTCTTTTTAAATGTAGCCATTCTACTGGGAGTAAAATGGTATCTCTTGTGGTTTTGAGTGTCCCTGATGACTAATGATGCAGAGCTCCTTTCATGTGCTTATAAGGCCATTCACATACCTGCTCAATAATCACCTTGCTCTTTCAGGTATCACAAACTTTCTCAAAATGTTTTGGGGTTATGGCACCTCAGAAAGCAGGGCAGTGGTCAGAAAGGCAAATCAGATGGCCTATCATAGGAAAATTATATTGCTACTTGGTTAGTTCCTTCAGGAAATAGCCAAGGTAACATTTCAAAGTTAGCCACATTAGGCTTGCGTTTAGACTCTACACCAAACTTTAAACTATACTGTTTTTCAATCATAATAGATGATTGACAGTGTTTTTCTTTATCTATAAAGCATGGCTACTAATAATAAATAAGGGTAATTGTCATAGTGGGTGAGTGTCGGTTGTGCAGTTTACAGGATTTGGTTAAAGGTTATGAGTTTTCTTTATTACTAATGTCTCTTGGAGCTGTCAGCCCTGCTGCCAGTGGCAGTACTCGATAATTTTACGAGAGAGGTTACAGGGAGCTCCATGGGCCATCTGAATTCCAGTGGGGCCTGATCCATGTATCACTGATGCTCTTGTTCATATTTGAATATTAGTTAGATCCTTTGGTCTGTTTTGAAGGTTAGTGTTATGGTCTTAAGGAGAGCATGGAAGGAATGCTCTGTGCTGAGTTGCTTTTCTGATCACTGCCCAGCTTTCTAAGGTGCCAATAAACCTAAAAAATGAAAATCAAGAGAAGTTCAGGGAAGTCCTTTAGACATTGGCTTTGTGAATGGTCATAACACATTGATGAGACAGTCCTCTGGGAGACTGCTTTTAATTCCTTTGAAAAGGGGCTTTTTTTCAAAAGAGAAAATATGTGACACTGCAAGATTTTTGAGAGGATGAGGAGAGGAAGATGGTTATTTGTACCAACTATTCCTATTTTGGTACTATTGCTAATAGTCTCGATAGCCTCCTTGACTTCTGATCCTTAAGTTGAGAGTTAAGAGAAAGAAGGATTTTTCAGTCCTTTAGCCATTTCTGAATGGAATATAATGTAATGTGATAGTAGTATAATAGTGTAATGGATTTCCAGTTTTTGTTAATAAAAGCTAATGAAATTGCATATCTGTTAATGGAGTGTTATTGAAGGAAGTGATTGGATTCCAAATTGATGATATTTAACTGTACCATGTTATTTTTTCGTTTATGATAGACAGTTTGTTACTTGCAACCACGTGTCACATGCTTGACTCTTCTGTTTTAAAATTTTAATTAAACTGTCTATATTGAGATGTGTAGTTGTAAGAAATAATACAGACAGATCACTCTTTATTCAGTTAGCCCAATGATTAACATCTTGCAAAACGGGATGCTGACATTGATGCAGTCAATACAGAAAACTTTTCCATCACAAGTTTCCTTCATGTTGCCCTTTTCTAGTCACTTCCTCTTGCTTCCAACCCCTTCTCAATTCCTGACAACCAGTAATCTGCTCTCCAATTATATAATTTTGTCATTTCAAGAATGTTATATAAGTGGAATCATATAGAATTTAGCCTTCTGGGATTACTTGTTTATAATCAGAATAAGTCTCTAGAGATTCATCCAGGTTGTTGTATACATCAATAGTTTCTTTTTATTACTGAGTATTGATGGTATGATGTACTTCAGTTTGTTTAACCATTTACCTTTTGAAAGACACCTGGGTTGTTTTTCAGTTTGGCCTATTACAAGTACGACTGCTATAGACATTTGTATACTGGTTTTTATGTGAACATTGTCTTCATTTTTTTGGGACAAATGTCCGGGAGCGTGGTTGCTGGGTTGTATGATACTTGTACGTTAGTTTCTTAAGAAACTGCTAAATTGCTATCCAGTGTAGCTGTGCTGTTTTGCATTTCTACCAGCAATGTATGAGTGATCCAGTTTCTCTGCAGCCTTGCCAGCATTTGGTGGTGTCACTGTGTTTTTATTTTAGCTATTATGGTGAATGTTTAGTGATAGCTCTTTGTACTTTTAATTTGTATTTGCCTAGTGACTAATGATATTATCTTTTCATAGATTATCTTTTTGTAGATTTATTTACCATCTATTTATCTTTTTCAGTGAAGTGCCCCACCTTGGGTTTTGCCCATGTTCTAATTGGATTGTTTACTTTTTTATGGTTTAGTTTTGAGAGTTCTTTATATATTCTAGGTACTAATACTTTGCTGGATGTGCAATTTACTTTTTCATATTTATGTTAAAATGATCATGTTTGTATCTACAAAAACTCTTCTTGGGATTTTGATAGGAGTACACCATTACATAAGTAGGTAGGCATTACCCACCTAACCTTCTCAGTGATGAAATGTCCCATAGAAGGGAGGGACAGTGTTGAGGACAGAGGATGTGGATGGGACAAAGGCACTGAGAATACGGAAAAAGTGATAAAAGAGAAATACGGGGGTGGAAGTTGTGGTGGTTGTCATTTGTTATGCATTAGGGTTCAGTTAGTGAATAATCTTAAAACTATTGAAATTAAATTTCACTTAAGAGGGTGGTTTTACTCCATGGATGAGTTTTCAGTTTCAACTCATTTATTAACATATATGAGCACCCTGTGTGCCTGGAACTGTGCTTTAAGCTGGAAACATAGGGGTTGTGAAGACTTATTTATTGACCCGTTGGAAATTATAGCCTAGTGAAGAAGGTAGCTGCCACAGAATCTCAAGCACCATTGGTGGTCTCTTACCAAACCAGGTGGTGGGAGAACATTGTTCTTAATTGGAGAATCTGTGTGTGGTCAAGAGATACAAATTTCAGGCCGCTTGATCAAGCCTGACTATGTATTTATTTTGCCAAGCCAAGATTATCAGATAAAAAATAAAACTTGAAATTTATCCTTTTCTTTTTTTCTTACAGATCTTTTAAAGATGGACCATTCCATTTTACTGTGTCAGTAGTAGAAGGCCATGTTACGTGGTAGACTCAAGGGCAGGGCTCAGGCCAGCAGGTCGTCTCCTTAGAGATGAGAAACTGCTGATCAGAGGCACTGTCCTGCCTTCTGAATAAAGAATTTGTGTTCGTTCCATCCCAAGGCAGGTTTTCTGTAATGGAAATATAAGTAACTGCCCATTAAAGCTAGGTAGAATCAGTATTTTAGATCAGGTTTTAAGGACTTCTGCTTTTGGTAAAATTATTTTTATTTTTTAAAAAGCATTACTATGATTTTAATATAATTCTTAACAGTGTTGAAAGTATTAGCTAAAAGTCACCTCAAACGTAGTAGTGTTTGCTGTAACACTAGAAAAAAAAATTACCTGTAGTGTTCTCTTCATGATCCTCCCTCTGTCCTCAGTATTTGGAATCAGTACCTGCCTTATCCTCAGGAGCAAGAAGAGTTGACAAGAAATGAGCCCTTTAAACAGAGTTTATTGAAGGAAGATAAAGTACATTTAAAGAGAGGAGCTGCTGACCAGTTGGCTGACCACCTAGAAAACAGCTGTGTCTGTTCTAGCTGGAAAAATAGTAGTAGCAGTGTTTATTTAAAGAGACAGTACACCCTCAGAGATGATTCAGAATAGGCTGCTCGAAAGAGAGGATGAGCCAGCAGCAGCTAATACTTGGGGACTCTCATTATGAAAATCTTGCCTGATTATTCATGAAAGGGCAGGAGGTCAGTTGCAACCATGTTTTAGGCGACCTCCTTGTATGCACATGCTCTGTAGTTGTACATGCTAGTGTACACATCACAGGTCTCATTAGCATTTAAAATCTCCACCCAGGGATGTGGTTTTTACTATTATAATGAACAGAAGGCTACTGTAGGGCAAGTTATTGAAGGAGTGCACACGCTTGTCAGCAGGGAAAGCCCCTCCTATGATTATCTCCAGCTAGGGCCTAATAAGTCCCCTTCAGGGCCAGAGGAGCCCAACCACAGGCCAGAAGTAGCTGGTGTAGCCATTGCCTTTTTGTGGACTATCAGTGGGCAGCGCCTCCAAGACTTTCCACAGGGCTCTCCTGATTGCTCTTTTCTGGCCATCTGCCTACCCTGACATTCCCACTGTCTTACGGTAACAGGGCTAATAGTGAACCATTCAATGAATGAAGTTGTTTCTACCCAAAAAATACTTATGGTCTCACAGTGGTAGGTAAGGTACAACTTGTGCTTATTTCCTAGTAATACGGGCAATAGGAAATATAAAAGCACTGAGCAGATTTAGAGAAAGAGATTTTATCTCACTTCTCTTTGGGGGTGATCAGGAAAGATCTCAAAGAGAAAGTAGCATTTAATGTGGACCTTGAAGGATGATTAGAAGTTTTGTCAGATGGTGGAGGTGAAACACTCCATTTTAAGCAGAGCAAATATGAAAAGATAGGAGAACATGAAATATCAATGAGGATTAACCCAGTTTCACTGAGTAGGGAAATAGTAAGAAACAAGCCTGGAGAGGGAGGCTGGGGACTGTGCTGGGTTAGTGAGTTAGAGCAGAATTCCACATGAAGTGAGGCATCGTCAAGGACATAGGTGTCACTGTCTAGTGAAATGCATGTAAAAGAGCAATATGACAGTGTTCTGTGGGGTCCGTCTAGCAATGATTGAGTTACATTCACAGTGTTCTTTCAGTTTGACTGGTTGATATGGAGAACCTGAAGTTACTGTGTGCCCAAATGCATAGTAAGAAGATGCGTGTTTATGCACAGGTCATACACTTAGTACACATTAATATACAATGATAATGGTGACATAGCACTTCGCTTAAAAATGTAAACCTGCTGTATGGAAGTTGAGGTAGCTTATGGTTATGGTTTTCGTCCCAGGCTGACAAGAATTCTTTTTGCCCCAGTAGGGTGATCATATTGTTAGAAAAGGGTCTTCTGAGTTCTTGAGAGTTGCTCCAAGGCAGAAGTTTAAGAAAAGTAAACCATGGACACCCTGGATTGATTTTTGTTTGTCTAAAGTATTACATAGATTGTGCTTTGAATAAATTACCTTTTTGAAAGCTCAGCTAAACATAGTAAACTACAAGAGAAGACAACTAGCTGTCACTCCTTTCTGGCCCCCACTGGCTCTCCTCCTTCAACACACACCTAATCCAGATGTGAAATTAAGTGCTTTCACACAGGCCCATTTATAAAGGAAATTAGATTGGAGACTGGATTCAAGAGGGATCTTGACCTTATTCCCCAGTTTTCTTTATATTGATTTTAGAGCCTGTATATTCGTTCAAAATTATTGGGAAAATAGTTATGGAGAAGATAGGTAGCATTTTAAAATGTAACTAATGCTAATTTTGATGGTTTAATAGTTTGGGTACTGTATTAGTCTGTTTTACATTGCTACAAAGGAATATCTGAGACTGGGTGCTTTATAAGAAAAGAGATTTGTTTAGCTTATGATTCTGCAGGCTATACGAACATGGCATTAGCATCTGTTCAGCTTCTGGTGAGGCCTCGGGAATCTTTTACTCATGGTGGAAGGTGAAGGGGGAGCGGGCATGTCACATGGTGAGAGAGGGAACTAGAAATTTCAGGATCTTTTTAAGAAGCAGTTCTCATGTGAAGGAATAGAGTGAGAAGTCACTCATTACCATGGGAGAGCAAAGACATTAATGAAGGATCTGTCCCCATGACTGAAACATCTCCCAGTCTGTCCCACCTCCAACATTGGGTGTCCCATGTTTCAGCCTGAGATTTGGAGGGGACAAATATCCAAACTACATCATGGTAATATAAGTCTAATCTGTTACATTCTGCCACTGTTTAAGTATGATTGTACCTACCAAATTGATATTGCTGTTAACCTCTTCATAAATATTCTCAGAAGTAATTTAAGTCTTTCTTGCATTGCTTTTATAGTCATACAGTGACCTTAACTAATAATATACTTTCGCCTATGTCTAAACTTAAAAACCTTCCTGCTTTAATTTAAGCCTTTTTGTGTCGTTATTTGAAGATACTATTGATTTTGATGGCAAAACATGGAATGAACTTTATACCTATGTTAGTCATTCAAAGTGTTTGGTAATCTAGTTGACCATATTTTAGTCTAATATAGAAAAACAATCTAATAGTTTTGAATTTCTTTCCTTAAGGCATTGTGTCCAGATCTGGCACCCTGACTTATGAAGCGGTCCACCAAACAACGCAGGTTGGATTGGGGCAGTCTTTGTGCGTTGGTGAGGGATTTTTGCTAAAATCCTTTTATTGGCATGTAGTGTGTTCACTGAATGAGTATAATAATAATTACTGATTTTATTATTTGCAACAGATTTTGATACTGTTATAAAAAGGATATTATGATCTCAAATTTAATTTGCTTAAGTGTGAAGTTGTTCTGTAGTTTTTCAAGATTCGTGGTCCAAAGTTTTATTTGCAGGTTGAAGAACAACATCTTGAGACATGTGGCTCCTGGAGCACCTTGGTGCCTGAAAACATCACTTGTTTTGATTACTCTGAAGAAATGGTTCCTAATATTAGGACTTTTGTTGTCATTGCCATTATGTTTATCAGTGCTTCATATTTATTGAATTCTTTGCCATTCAATGTCTCATTCTTAAAGCAAGCCTCTCAGGCATTTCTGAGTGAGAAAATTGTACTGTTAGAGCCTTATTGGTGAGAAAGTCAAGGTTGAGGAAGGTTCACTTTTTCAGAACCTCTCTTTTTATCACACCATACTGCCTCCACTTGAAAAAAAAATTACAAGTTTTTAAAAATTTTATTTATTATACTTTAAGTTCTGAGGTACATGTGCAGATTGTGCAGGTTTTATATTTTAAAATAATTTCAATATTTGCTGCCAAAAGCCAAGGCAAATCACTCATTTTCATATTGATAAATATTCCTTCAGTTTCTTAGAATATCTTTTAGAAGTATCTATACCAAAAAATCATAACATATAGGTGTTTTTATTAAGATCCAAATTCATAAATTAAATATTGAAAACATTCATTGAGCATTTTTACATATAAACATAATTTTGAGTGGAAGATATTTTAGTGTGACAGAGAATAAGAAATGGTTTGAAACAGGCTTACCAATTTCTTCTTTTTTAGCTTCAGTTTTGAGTTTTTAAATGGAGAATAATAATGCCTATCTCACAGAGAGGGTGAGAGAATTAGGAAATGACAGATCTAACGTGTGCCAAAGCATAGGACTTGACACATGGTTGGCACTTAATAAATGCTTGTTTCCTTCCTCCACTCCATTCTTCAGAGATGCAGTGAAAAGTAAGAAACCAGTCCTGCCCTCATTAAGTTTGTAATTTAAAAATAAAAAGTGGCAGCCTATCGGTATGGAACATTGACTTTAACCCTGTCCAAATACTCCTTTTTAAATGTTGTGTAGTAGGGCTCTGTCATCATCCACTCTGGGTCCAGAACAGGAGGGGTCAGGGCACTCACTGTCACTCACTGGCACATGTGTCTTAAAACTTGTGGGTTTCTCTGCAGCATACCTCATCAGATAGTTTCTTTGCTCAAAGAAATTTGTTAAATATTTATTCTTTCCTTTAGTGTAACATCAGCATCTTCTTAAAATGTTAATTCCTAAGGAGTTATCTGGAAATAATTTTGTGGGACAGAAGAGGTTTGATAAAGGAGCTAAAGCAAAAAGAGGGTTGTCTTTGTTACAGCCCTAGAATATTCTTGGGATATCAGGAAGCAACCACCATTTAGCATTCATATGATATTACCAACAGAAATAAATGTAGCATTTTGTGATTTTAAAATATTAAATGTAAGAATAATAATACATTTAAAAATATTAGGGAGAAGGGGAAGAAAAGTGATAAACGAGTTAAAAACATTTCTTGACCTAAATTCCATGTATCTTTATATTTCCAGCTATTGATATTTTTTGACTTTTTCAGGCATTGGAGGTGATCCTTTTAATGGAACAGATTTTATTGACTGCCTTGAAATCTTTTTGAACGATTCTGCCACAGAAGGCATCATATTGATTGGTGAAATTGGTGGGAATGCCGAAGAGAATGCTGCAGAATTTTTGAAGCAACATAATTCAGTAAGTTTGGGTTTGGAAAAATATAGCTCTTGGCTCTAAATACCAGAGGCTTGTTTCAGAAGTTATTTTTATTTTTTCAAAGATTAATTTTTCAAGAAAACATGAAAGATAAAACTTTCTGGCTAGGTGCGGTGGCTCATGCCTGTAATCTAGCACTTTGGGAGGCTGAGGCAGATGGATCACGAGGTGGGCAGATCATGAGGTCAAGAGATAGAGACCATCTTGGCCAACATGGTGAAACCATGTCCCTACTAAAAATACTAAAATTAGCTGGGTGTTGGCGGTGCACACCTGTAATCCCAGCTACTTGGTAGGCCGAGGCAGGAGAATCGCTTGAACTCACGAGGTAGAGGTTGCAGTGAGCTGAGATTGTGCCACTGCCTGGTGACAGAGCAAGACTCCCTTTCAAAAACAAAACAAAACAAACAAAACAAAGGGGCCTTCTGTACTAGACACTTCTGGGTTGATTCTCTCCTTCCCTATTCTGAACTCTTCCTCCGTAGGCATGACCCCACACTTTGTGGTAAGTAAGTCGTCCACTTGCTGAGTGGGTACATTCAGGCCATCAGCCTCAGAGCCCCCACTTGACCTACAGACTTGGTTTTCACTTATGGCTGGTAGTCTTTCTCCTAATTTCAGAGGGAAATAGTGTTCTTTCTCTTTTTCAAGGCTGACCTAAAGATCCTATCCTCATGGCTTTTTTTCAGGATCTTGCTTCCCTCTAGTTTTAGACTTTCCTTGTGGAATGGCACTTCCCTTAAGAGATCAAGTAGAAAAGCTTTACTGTCTACTTCCTGTGGAGGCTTTCCTCGTTGTCTCTCCCTTAGAATCAAATGTAAAGGAATAGTGCTGAGTTGTGTCATAATTCTATTTAGCTTAAGGGAATTAAGCTCTATTCCTGTGGTGAAAGGAGAGATCGAGGTGCAGTAGTGACTGAAGCAGTTTGGTGTCCACCAGCCCCCACTCAGTGAATTTGTGCTGTGGCCATTATTGTATCAGAGAACTGTGGGAAAAAAAAATCAAGCAAGTGATTTTCAGAATTTCTCTTACACTGACGAATGAGTGAAAAATCCTCTTCAGGAGACTAGACAAGAGAGTGGAGATAACTTTTTCTCTATGCTTATGGAAAAAAATCTACCAGTGAATAAATTAAATGCCACAGAAAAATAATACTGGAGAGTTAAAGGAACCAATAATATCATGTAAAGGGTAGTTTACACAAAACAAGACATATTTATTTGTGTTTTAAAGAATTTTAAAGGGCTATTTTAAATATTCTTGATTTTCTTCTTTGGTGACTTTAAGCCCTAACTCCCATATTAGATATGATTCAACTTTACCCTCATTCTTTCAATTTCTTTCCTTACTTTTCATTCATTCTTGAATCTTCAGCATTCTGGTTCCTGTCTGTCACTTAGAAGCTATATGACCTTGGGAATGCTTCTGAATCTTGTTGCCTCACTTTCCTTATTGGAAAAATGAGGATATAGTAGTGCCTGCCCCCTAGAGTTATTTTCAGAACTGTGAAGTTTAAATGACTTAGTAACGTATAGCATAGTAGTGCCCGGCACTTAGTAAGCAGTCCTTACTGAGCTGCTTGCTGCTGTGGAATCTTCTTACTCTCCTGATAGTTTTTGCAAAAGTCACCACTGGCCTCGATTCATTTGTCATCCTCTCTATCCTCTTGGTTTCTTTCCTGGTTTTCCTCCTCTTTATCATTCCCTGGATCTGTTTTCTGTACCTGTTAGGTATGAATTGTTATCTTATATAAGCGACTTCGTACTTAATGCAGTTTCTATGGCGGAAACCTGAGAACTATCTGTTATTTCTCTCTCATCTTGTTACTACTCAGTGACCAAGATCTGACTCTTAGACATGAGTGGTTTGTCTAGATTCAGAGCCTTGTCTGTACATAGTACATCTACTTTGGTTTGGGTCCTCATCCCATCTCTTCTGGACCATCTAAGTGGTTTCCTTCATGAGCTCTCTCATTTTCTCCATCCACCTCCCTTTACTCTTAGGCCATTCTGCTTATGGCCACCCAAGTTATCTGCCCTTCTGAAACACAGGCATTGGTCTGTTTATGCTTGGTTCACATCAGACAGTGTTTTCCATTACATGGCAGTTAAAGGGCAGATTTAGCATGACTTCCAGTCCTTCACATATCATCCTAAGCTTCCCTTTCAGATCCATTTTCCGTCTGACATGCCAGTTTTCATTCTCACTTGCCTTTGTTTGTTTCTTCTTCAAGGCATGCTTAATATCTGACTTACTCTAGACTGTGTTATGGACTGCAGGGAGCTGTTATCCTCAGTGCCCTACCCAGTCCCCTGGAACAGCAGGCACCAATACAGGTCAGGTATTGGTGGAATGGAAGAGTAGATAATTAGGGATTGGAGTAAAATGGTAGATTTCCTTGAAGTCAGAAAGTTGTATAGTTTGAAATTTAAGTAAAAACTGACTTTTTTTTAAAAAAAGAAAAAGGTTTGGGTTAATACAGCATTGTACTATGTTAAATTGAATTTAAAATGTATTTGAGACCAATTCTGAATCCCTTGAATAACTTAGTATTTAGTGGGAAAAATGAAACAGACATTTTGTTTCATTTGGTACATGTTTCCTATTCTTGATTAGGTCTTATGGAATTAATTTTTATTGAGAACCTAATGTGTATAAGATTCTAGGTTAAGCAGTTCAGATGCTATACTATATAAAACATCTAGTATACTTGGCATAGAGTAAATACTCGATAAACATGATCTGCTGCTGCCTTTCCTGCTATCATTACAATGATAATAATTATTTGCAAAAGTTCTGGTGTTTAACTTTTATTCTGATGCTTTGGTAAGATGTTTTTGTTTTTTCTTTATGAATGAGGAAACTGGCACAGGAAGATTAGTAACTTGCCAAGGGTAGGTATACAGCAAATGAACCTGGGGTGAGATTCATACCCAGGTTAGCCTGACTTCTCCATTTCACCATGGAACGATAAGGAGTCAGACTGAAGGAGTTAAGGACAGAGTCATCAGTTATGGGCATAGGCTCAGACTACACTGAGAGCATTCTAACTGGCCTTTCTGCTTTTAGACATTCATACTTTTCATCATTTGTGTCCTATTTTCAGACTATACTTCCCCATACTCTTAGTTGTAGTTTTCTCCACTTAAAAAACAAAAAAAACCTTCAATGACTCTTTGTCAATGGGACAGACGCAAATTTGTTAGACATTCTAGGCTCATCAAAGTCTTAATCCTTTCTTGTGCAACAATATTCCCACTTTTTGGGGGAACAGGAGAGCAGGATCAAGTAGAAATTAATGCCATTCAAACATGAGATTCTCATATTCTATGTAGGTCTTATGAGTGAAAGAATAACTTGTGGAGTCTTTTCTTTTTAATTCTATACCATAGATACTACAGTAGGTGCCAGGCATACTGAAATTAGTGAAAATATAACCTCTGAGTTCAGGGAATTCATAGTTTAGTAAAAGAACACATGGGGAATAGGTTATAGCCAACGTGTTGAATTTTATAGTAGAAAGGTATAAAAGGTACAGCATAGTCACTGATGAGATGATCAACTATGAGGGCATTTGTGGGGAGGATGGGAGGAAGAGTCAAAAGGATTATAGGAGAAGAGGAAGCTAGAGTCAGATCTTACAAGTTAAGTAGGAGTTTGCGAAGTGTCCAAGGAGGGTGGAGAACATTTTCAGCAAAGGCGAAGAGCTAGACTGGAGTGGAAGGTGGAAAGGTGGGAGATGAGGCAGGAGTAAGCAATGTCTGACCGTGTAGCTCCTTGTATGCTGGCCTCTTAGTGGGAATGAGGGCAGTCAGTGGAACCAGAGTAGCAGTCATTCACTCCCATGTACCACTCACAGTGAAAAGAAAAAAAAGCCAGTTTCACTTATGAATATCCTTGATGAAGTGGTAACAGTTATTACTTTTATTAAATTATGACCCTGGAGTCAGTATTTTGTGATAAAATGGGAAATAAAGCACTTTCATAATTGAGCTGTGAGCTGAACTAGCTGCCCTTTTCATGGAACACCAATTTTACTTGAAAGAGTGATTGGCAGACAAACTGGTTGTTCAGACCTGGGTATTTGACAGATCTCTTCTCAAAAATGAACAAAATAAACCTGCTGTGTCAAGGAAAACAGCTGATAGTATTTGTTGATAATAGTAACATTTGAACTTAAAAAAAAACATTTTTAAGTTCTGGGGTACATGTGCAGATCTTGCAGGATTGCTACATAGGTATACACATACCATGGTGGTTTGCTGCCTCCATCCCCCCTCAACCTGCATTAGGTATTTCTCCTAATGTTATCCCTTCCAATCTCCCCATCTCCCCACCCCCTGCTATCCCTACCCTAGTCCCCTACCCTGCAACAGACCCCAGTGTGTGATGTTCCCCTTCACTGTGTCCATGTGTTTTCATTGTTGAGCACCCACTTACGAGTGAGAACATGTGGTATTTGGTTTTCTGTTCTTGTGTCAGTTTGCTGAGAATGATGATTTCTAGATTCATCTATGTCCCTACAAAGGACATGAACTCATCATTTTTTATGGCTGCATAGTATTCCATGGTATATATATGCCGCATCCTCTCTATCTAGTCTATCATTGATGGGCATTTGGGTTGGTTCCAAGTCTTTGCTATTGTAAACAGTGCCGCAAGTGAACATACGTGTGTGTGTGTCTTTGTAATAGAATGATTTATAATCCTTTGGGGATATACCCAGTAATGGGATTGCTGGGTCAAATGGTATTTCTATTTCTAGATCCCCGAGGAATCGTCACACTGTCTTTCACAATAGTTGAACTAATTTATACTCCCACCAGCAGTGTAAAAGTGTTCCTATTTCTCCACATCCTTTCCAGCATCTGTTGTCTTCACATTTTTTAATGATCACTATTCTAACTGGTGTGAGATGGTATCTCAATGTAGTTTTGATTTGCGTTTCTCTAATGTCCAGTGATGATGAGCATTTTTTCATGTTTATTGGCCACACAAATGTCTTCTTTTGAAAAGTGTTCATATCTTTTGCCTACTTTTTGTTGTTGTGTGTGTGTTTGTTTTTTTTTTTTTTTTTTTTTTGGTATATCTGTTTTAGTTCTTTGTAGATTCTGGATATTAGCCCTTTGTCAGACGGGTAGCTTGCAAATTTTTTTTCCCATTCTGTTGGTTGCCCATTTCAACTTTCAAGTGAATAATTTAAATCTTGGAAAGCTTGAATCTGCAACCATGAGCTTGACAGCTTCCTCCAACCTAGAGGCTTTTCTAATGAGCTTGGTGGTGATACTGATAACTGGTTTGTTATTAAATGGTGTGTGTTAGCATTTGGAAGATCTGCATAACTCAGTGAACTCATATTTCCTAACTGAGGAATGCATATTACAAAATCATTGTAGTTAAAAGATCACTCAAAGTGCAAGACAGATTAATGGGTTTCAAAGTAACAAAGGACAGAAAGTTCACTGCGAGGATTTCATATTCCAACATTGCACCTAACCTTTAAGAAATGACCACTTGAAGACATTTATGTAGTATCAAAGAAGAATACTCCCAATTATCTGTAAGGCAATCAATTAAAATATGTCTCCCTTTTCCATTTACATATCTATGTGAGGCTGGATTTTCCTTTTATACTTCAGCTTAAATAATATATTGCAACGGATTGAATGCAAAAGCAGTTATCAGAATCCATTTGTCTTTTATTAAACATTAAAGAGTTGAAAATATAAGTGATAAAATAATGCAACTCTTGTCACTAGAATGTTTTTTAAAGTTTTAAAAAGTTATTTTTAACTGAATTAACAAATAGTTATAAAATTTGTTTTAATTTCTAATATACTAAATATCATTAGATAAAATGCAGTATAAACAAAAGCTCTTTGAGATCCTCAGTAATTCTTGTAAGTATAAGGGATCCCCAGACAAATGATTTGAGAGCTGCTGGCCTTGGGGGAAGACAATAGTACCTAAGTGAAGGCTCTCAGGTTCCACTTGTGCTCAAGTTCTGCCTGCTCCAGGCCTCTCTGTTTTACCTGGTTCCTTATTATCTCTGGACTTCCATTATGAACATGATATTACCATTCGTTGTGAGACTTAATCATATATTCATATATTAGTTTATGGTATCTCTTAATGGATTGACGTACATACATATTTCTTCAACTACTTTGCAAGTCTAGAGTACAGAAATTTTTATATTTTCTTTGAATTTTTTTTCTTAAACCTCAGAATCTAGTACATAGAGATTGTACATTACAATGGATTTTTGCTGAATAAAACTAATTTTGATGTTCCTTCTTAGATACAGAATTCCAGAATGGAAAGGGCTTTTGGGTGTCAGTCTAGTTTGGCCATTTTATTTCATGGATGAGGAAGCAGAAGTCTGGAGAAGTGATATGCCCTGTCCAAGGTCATGCAGCTTTCCTTACTAGGAAATTAAGTCCGAGCTCCTTTCCTGTATGCTTCCCATTTCATCTTTTTCTTTCAGCACATTCATTAAGGGTGAACCAATAATAAATTAAGGCATAATTAGGTTGAAGTAAAGCATCCCAGTCTTATGTCTTAAATTATTATTATCACAAATCATTTAACATATTTTCCAGTATGCTGTTTAACTTTTCAAATGAGAGAGTCACATGTGTATTTGTGAAGTGGAAGTTTTGTATTCAACAGGTATAAACATTGGCTTAGTGTTGTATTCCTGAGTTTGTATGGAAAGTTAAAGGAGAATGCGGTGGTTTCAATCATGGCTTAATATTAGTGTTGGTTTTACTAGGATGAATGGTGGGCTTTCCCCTGCCCAAGCCATTTACCATTTACCAGCAGAGTCATGAATTTGAGATCCAGTTTTGATAGCCTTCTTCATTAGAGCGCTTAAAATATTACTTTCTTTCCAGGGTCCAAATTCCAAACCTGTAGTGTCCTTCATTGCTGGTTTAACTGCTCCTCCTGGGAGGCGAATGGGTCATGCAGGAGCAATTATTGCTGGAGGAAAAGGTGGAGCTAAAGAGAAGATCTCTGCCCTTCAGAGTGCAGGAGTTGTGGTCAGTATGTCTCCTGCACAGCTGGGAACCACCATCTACAAGGTGAGCTCCAACAGTGGCCCAAGTGCTGTGAGGTTGCAGGTTTTCTCTGTGTGTGGCCACACTGGGTACTTGGAAATCATGGCCTTTGCTTCTGGAACTTAATTGGTTTTCTGATGTGCAGCTTAATAGTTTTTTTTTAATCAACTCTGTTAATGTCCTAGTGTCCTAATTGAGCATGACCAGGAGTAATATTCTGATTTTAAAGCTTTCTTCTTTAAACATTGGGATTTATATTTTTGTAAATGACAAGCTGTAACATACAAAAAAGCATCTTAAAGATTGTATGTGTCATGATTTCCATTTTGAGGGTTTGGGAGGTAGCAGAGAACTGCTTTATGTTTTGTTACTTGTTTTTTCCTTTGTGATACAGCCACCCTGGCCCCATAGGTTTCTGTTTCTAGGAAGAAAGGGTTGAAGGCTGAATAACAAGAAATGGAAACTGGATGAAGAAGGAGTTGGGATGGAAGGGGATCTAAAGAGGATGGGGCGATTGGTCCTGGCTGTGTTGTGATACCATTGTTACTTATAGGTTGAAGGAGTGACTTTTTAACCTCTTTTTCTTTTTTTCTTTCTTTTCTTTTTTTTTCTTTTTCCTTTTTTAATAAAACATTATGGGTTAAAATATTCTAAGTAATTTGATGTCTTTTATAATCTCTTTGCACTGATTTTCAGCTTATCTCTTTGAGTGATCATTTAAGGCTCTCTCTTCCCTCATTATTTTTATGCTGGTATACTCTTGCCAAAAAAAAAAAGAGCAAAGAGCAACACAAAATTATTTTCTTAAGCATGCTGAACATAGGTACCAGCTGGTTTCCTAGCAGGGAATAGCATTCAGAGAGAATTTCAAAATCCTGATTTGGTGGTCTTCTTTGCCCTCGTCTTAGGGATAAATAAAGTGGACTCCTTGTTTTATTGAAACTTTGCATGATCCTGCTTTTGGAATACAACACTATGTGCCAAAGTGTTTGAAAGAAATATAGGTGGTTAGTGAGTGTGAGAAAGAATTTTATTTGAAGGTGGAGAAAAGGAGAAAAGCAAATGCTTAAATTCACGTTGGAGATGTGTGTTACCATTTTCTTCCAGTAAGTGGCAGCAGGCATCTACACATTGTATCCTAATTGTTATAATCTAAAAAAATAGGATTTTTGGTATTGTTTTCTTAAACACTACTTTGCTTAAGGTATTTGTTTGTTTCGGGTATTTCTAAGGTTCTTGACATTTTGTTCAAACCCTAACAATCTGTCTTAGCTTTATTCTCTGAGAGACTGAACAAACCCATTTCCATTTCCTTATTAGAAGGGCTGGATGTAGTTCATATATATAGCACTACAGTTTGGATAAGCACAATAAAGTTTCTCAACTCCTAAAATTATTATTATACTGCTGTGAAAAAAATAAATATTATTCAAAAACTCCCTCTCCCGGGTTTAGGAAAAATATAAAGTTGAAGTTCTGCTGCTTGTGACAGTGAAATTCAAGCTGACACAGACTAATTTTGAAGGCTGTTATTTTGTGTTCAAACACCCTCATCCTGGTACATTTTTCTTCTGTAATTTGGTTGTTCAAAGGATCCTAAAGATAATGGATTTCAAAATCATTTTGACCAGAAATGTAATTTGGATCTTTCATCTTTTTATTCATTCCATTTCTCTTCTCTCTTTTGTTTCTGAAGGAATTTGAAAAGAGGAAGATGCTATGAAAGAAAAAAAAACCTCCTGAAACTGTGGAATGGATCACTTAGACATGTGGCCCAGCAGCAGTTTGCTTCTGTTGTCTACTGATTATCAGCCTATGTGCCTGGCATTGGTCTTTCAGTGTAACTGGAAGCCAAAACAAGGTGGAAGATGTCCTGGATTAAGATGTTTTCACCTCATTGTATAACAGAGACAGCCAATAAACCTGCCATTTGATTTGAATATTGTTTTGGAGACTTATTATTGTTCCAGTGTGAAGGATGAAGAGAGTAGGAGAAATGGAGGTGTATTTATGTGTGTATGTGTTTTAATGGGTTCTTTAGAGAACATTGTAACCAAAACCTCTGGGAGAATGAGGCTGTAACAGTTTCAACATGGCACTTGTCTGTCTTAAACATAGAATGACTTCAGGTATCTTTTGAATTATAGTTTTCTGTATGTACATGATAATCTCCATCGTGCAGGGTAGTTCAGAGGGTTGGAGATAAGGCAACTTAATTGTCATCAGTGCCTCCATCATCACTACCGTCACCACCACACCATCATCATCATTATCATCATCAGGATTAGAGGCAGAAGCTCATTTATATTTCAGTTTCTGCCTCATTGGGAAATGGAGAGTCTTCACCAATGCTTTTCTGTGGTTCTGCAGAGGTCTCTACCCTTTTCCATCCAGAGCCTACGTTCTTTCTTTGAGATTTAAGACAGTCACTGCTAGAAAACTGGAAAGCTGTTAGCCATCCTACTTCATGTTCAAAAGGGAACTTGTTATAACAAGAAGTACTCCCAGTGGGTAATTGCCACTAAACAAGACAGAGAAGGTGCCTGTCATTAGGAACTTACATTCTGGACCAAAATATTATCAGATAGTATAACTGCCCTGAAGGAAACAAATAAGAGCTTCAAAAATAATAATAGGGAGAAGCCCTTGAATAAAGGCAGATTAGGGAATTCTCCCTGGGGAGGGGACATGAGGTGACACCTGAGGACTGAGAAGGTACTAGCCATGCAAAAAGGTGTGTGAGCACTCAAGTAAGGGAACAGCCTGTGCAAAGTCAGGGAGGGGGAAGATCTCATTTTGAGGAGGTGAAGGAATACTGGGTGGTTTGAGATGGGTTTGAGGACGTTTGAGGGGCCTGAGGAAATGTGTTTTGGGAGCTTGCATGACCATGCCCAGGCTGCTGCTCAGGACACAAAAAGCAGATGTCAGGTGTCACAGACCAAGGAATTCTGCCCAGACCAAGGGACACATGATGATTGACTTTCAGGTTGAGTAGACTTTAGTTTCTGCTTGTTTCCTCAGCTTGAAAATACGGATAATGGTTCCCATGCCAGAGCATACCTGGGTATACATTATGTGGTATGTGAGGGCGCTTATCACAGGGCAGGCTTGGCTAGGGCTTGGCATTGCTCCATAAACTTGAATGTATCCTGCTGTTGTGCTTGGGGCAGCCCAGGCTGACATTACTGGCCCAGAGAGGAAGGCATTGCTTCCTTCCTCTAAACCAAGGACCCTATACGGAAAATATGTTGGTTGAACTCACTGGGATTTTGTGACCAGGGTACAGCTCAGATGATAGGTAAGTGACCTGTTTTAGCTCAGGCTAGTGTAACAAAATACCATAAACCAGATGGCTTAAACGTTTATTTCTCAGTTCCAGAGGCTGGGAAGTCCACTCTCAGGATCCAGCAGGGTTGGGTTCTTGGTGAGGGCCTCCCATTGGTCGACAGACAGTAATGTGTCCTCACAAGGTGGAAAGAGCTAGCTAGCTTGCTGCTCTCTTATAAGGGCATTAATCCCATTCAGGAGGTTTCTACCCTCATGACTTAAAAGTCCCACCTCACAATACCATCGCATTCTGATTAGGGCTTCAAAAATGCATAACCCTAACAGAAGACATCCTTTTCAGAGTCTACCCAGACTCAAGGCTCCTCTGGGATTGCCTCAGCACACTGCCCTATCCCCTGAGCAACTGTCCCAAGACTACATGTCTCTCTTCAGCCCTCTGCTCCTGTTACCTAAACTAGGGAACTCAGTGTCTCTTGTATCTTCTTTCACCACCACCTCCATCTTCCCATTCCCTTTTATCTTCCTTTTGCCACCTACCCTCTCTGTTCCTCCTAGGATCCTGTGAGGCCACCTTCTCCTGACCATCTCTCTTACCTTTCCCCTCCTACAACCACCACTACCTGTGGTCTGACAGCTCAGATAGCAGTGGGTGAAATATTAGGTCCTGGTGTTTCCTATTTCAGTTTTATAAACAAAAAAGTGAAAAGGCAACTCGCAACTCCAGTACATTTGAGAAACTTCTGTTATGCAAACTGTAAAACATTTACAAAAGAATTGTGATAGCATAATGTACTCCCATGTACCCATCATCTAGCTTTGAAAATTATCAACATGCTATCATTATTGTATGATCAGTAAGTATCTCCAATCCACCCATGTCCCAGAGTGGTGATATTGTAAGAGTACATGCCTGTGAAGATTGCTAGAAGATGCTAGCTTGAGGATGTTCGTAGATGTCCTTTAACATATCAGGTAAATTCCCCTCCTGTTTATTCTAAGTTAGCTAAATGTGTTTGTTAATGCTGTGGGGCATTTTTTTTTTTTTTTTAAATGGGGAAGGGACTATGCTTCCCAGGCTAGTCCCAAAATCCTGGCTCAAGCAATCCTCCTACCTTGACCTCCCAAAGTTCTGGGATTACAGACATGAGCCACTATGCCCAGCCTTGTTTATTTTTAAAATCACGAATGGCTGCTGAATTTTTTCCAGTGATTTTTCTGAATCTATTCAGTCCGAGATAACTATGTGTATTTTATACTTTATTTTGTTGATATGGTCAGTTTAAATGTTTGATTTTTAAATGTTAGCTTGCATTCCTGTTTGTAACTGCCACTTGGTCATGATCTTATCCTTGTCTTATATTGATGGATCAACTTGCTAACAGTTTTTTTAAGAATTTTTATGAACATCATCATGAGGGGTATTGATCTTTATTTTCTTGTAATAAATTTCATACATGTCGTTGCCAAGTTCAATATCAGGGTTATATTGGATTTCTACAATAATTTGGAAAGTATTCTTTTTTCTTCTGCTTTCTGAAAGAGTTGGTGTAAGGTTGGTATTGTTTCTTCCTTAGATTTAATAGAATTCACTAGTAAAACCATCTGAGCTTGAAATTTACTTTGTGAAAGCTTTTGATTATAAATTCAATTTCTTTGATAGATAAAGGGCCTTTCAAATTTCCCATTTGACCTTGCACCATTTTTTTTTTTTTTTTTTTTTGGTTTTTGCTACCTACTGCTTATTGGAAAAGACCTTTAAGTGAAAAGCTACAAACTCAGAAATCTCACCTGTCATAGTGACCTCTTCACAGGTAATCTCCTTCACTGTCTGTATGATTTTGGTCACTCTACAATGCTTTCAGGTAATTGTTATCTTATAAAGAATTTGTCCAGATTTAGTAATTGTTATCTGCAGGAAGTTTAGTTAGATCAAGCTGTTCCGTCATTACCAGAAGCTGGAACGGACTACATCTTTTAACACAAATGAAAAACCCCCTCTTCTTGGCCAGCACTGTCACTACCCTAGAATGAGTAGCAGTGAATAGGGCAAGGCATGTCATTCTCACATGGAATCAGATTGTATTTTACTGAGGGTGTCAGATTTCACCCTGTCCTGTGAAAGTCACATACAATGGCTTTCAGATACATCCACATGGTGGGTGAAGAAGTCCAAGGCCAAGATTTTAACAGATTTCTGTAGCCTAAACCTCTCTTGGTCACTTCCGGTCTGGTGTTATATTGCCACTGTTTTAT